CTAAGCTGGGGAGCTATGAGCAAGCCCACACCAGCCCGCCGCCTCTCACCGCGGGCAACTCCAGAGTAGTAGAGAGCCCAGCCTCTCTCGAGGAGTAAGATTCCAGAGCCCAAGCTGTGCGTGGAGGTGAGCCTGACTATAGCCGGTACCTCTCAACCTCCTGCACAAGCTGGGGCTCCTTCCCCACCAGCGAGGTGACACTCCATGTCCCCAGGGCTAGTCTCCGTGTCCAGCGATCGGGTCGTCTGGGCCCCTGCCTTCGACTGCTGCCCAATCCACTGTGCACCGGCCCCTTACGGATCCTCCTGCAGGTGGTGGGCCCACGGGAGGACGTCCCCACATTGCTTGTTTGGGCTAAGTTCGGGTGGTGATTTCAAAACATATAAATTTTTCTATCTTTATTTGGACTTTTTTTGTCAAGCACACAATTATCACTTAAATTTTACAGATACTGTACAGATAGGTAAACGTAGAGGCCACTCAGAGTCTTTATCATGAGGTCCAAAGGCCTTACAGAGCAGGGTGAGGGTGGCTGAAAGGGTTCAATCTCTTTATTTATTTCAGTAATTTAATGGTGTATTTTAGGATGTTAATGCAGGTCATATTTCCCTATACTAAAGCCACTGTCTGTAACTTTTCTGTATGGCAGCATATTGACCATGAGAAAAAACATTTGCTCAGTATCTTGTAATAACAGTTCTCACTATAATGAGATACTTTTTCGTTTTTACGAGGTACTTTCACATTATTGTGACATACTTTATTTTCACATAGTAACAATATACATCTTAGCAGCCTCTCTCTCATCAGCACCCTCATACCAACTTTCCACACAATGACCACCATTACACTACCACACACAATATTCACCTATAGACGAAAAGTATCTTTTTGATGCTGCCAGCAGGATATGCTGAGATCAGAAATGTTGAAAGCCTGTAAATGTGCATTTGCACCTTTCACAACACAACTTTAAAAGGAAGTGTAAATGTTCCTGCATGTTGTTGTGTGTATCTGTGCTTCGGTTCAGTCTGTTCTGTATATTTGCTTTGTTTTCTCCTGCTCAGGAAAGCGACGGCGCCAGACCAAGGATTTCCCTGGCGCTGACATCGTCATACCTCAGATCAAATCCAAGACAGCCAGGAAGAGAGTCGGCCTGGTGTCCACTGGCCCCCCTGTCAGGCAACACACGCCCGTTCTCAGCCCTGATGGAAAGGTCATAGGTCAGAAAGCAAACATTGTGGGAGTAGTGGTCAGGAGGGAGCTGTGGCAGCTGCTTTAATTAACAGCAGGGGAACATATTGATGAGTGAATGTAAAGTGCAAGGACGGTCAACCTAGTCTGTTTGCTGTTTGAGAAAAAAATCCCAAGCACAGAATTGGGCAGAAATGTCTTTTGATCAGTTTTGTTCTGGATCGGTTTTTCTCTGAAGCTGTAGCCAGAAAGAGGGTCAGACAGAGATGTCCAACGAATTACCTTTTCTCTTCTGTTTTATTTAGGCAAGGTGACCAGTGGCTGCCCCTCTCCGTGTCTGAAAAAGAACATTGCTATGGCTTATGTGGATGCGGCATTCGCTAAGAATGAAACTGCTCTCCAGGTTGAGGTCAGGAAGAAAGCAGTGCCTGCCACAGTCAGCAAGATGCCCTTTGTCCCCACCAACTATTTTTATGGATAAGTACATCCACATATAGATAGGTGTGCTGGTCTAATGTCATCAGTCACAGTCATTTGCTTTTCATTTTTATCATAGACATTCAATCTGAAACACAAGGGAAGTCCAAGTACTATGTGCAGGACAATTTAAATAGCAGTCAGTATTCTACCTGGGTGAGTTTAAAAAATACAGTATGAATAACATGGTTTCATGGATAGATGTGTAATAAATAATGAGCAATTTATTACAAGCAGCGTGGTTGAGTTTGAGAATGTGTGTATATGACTCCAGTGTGGACTTGCACAGATGTTCTGTTATGCTCTTTCTATTGTGTAAGTGGACAACAGGTTCAACACAATCAAATTGCCGCACTTTCAGTAAGAAAACAAAATGAAAAAGCATGTATCCATTAAACACTAATATTTAATTATTCTTTTGCTGTAGAATATAAGTTTTGTTAATGAAGCATCATTTTTATTTGTCACTGCTGGACCAGGACAGCACGGTGGCGCAGTGGTTAGCACCGTTGCCTCACAGCGAGAAGGTTCCGCGTTCGGGCCCCACCCGGGACCTGTGTGGAGTTTGCATGTTTTCCCTGTGCTTGCGTGGGTGCTCCGGCTCCCACCCACAGTCCAAAGACATGCAGCTTAGGTTGATTGGTGTCTCTAAATTGCCCATAGGAGTGCGTGTGTGGTTGTTCGTCTATGTGTTAGCCCTGCGACGGATTGGCGACCTGTCCAGGGTGTACCCCACCTTCGCCCGATTGCCGGCCGGGATTGGCTCCCATGACCCCGTTCAGGGACTAAGCGGTAGAAAATGAATGAATGAACTGCTGGAACAAAAAACAAAACATTTCAAATAGGTCTTGTTTACTACATGCCAAATTTCCGTTAATTGTTTGCTAGTCATAAACCGTTTGATGATGGGAGGACAAACAAGGACAGCTCCATGATCCTTTCAACACAAAAGTAACACAACACAAAGTTTGTGGAACTGGTATTTTGTTTTAATTAGGAAATTTTCTCAACAACTTCTTTTTGGGGATTTTGAGGGTGCTCTCATTAATTTGGTTGATATAACCCAATTACCATATTAGATAAACTTGCCCAGTTTCTAAGACTGTTAGTAATATGTAGAAGAGAAGTTTACAGGTGGTACAATGATAGATGAACTTGAGAAGATGTTATTTACTAAAGAAATGTAATTTCTACATTAAGTACATTAAGCTAGGACCTTGTCTTTGCACTTTCTATAGAGCTCTGTATATCATTATAAAAAAAAAAAACTTGAATGCAGACTACCAATTTATAGGTTGCTTTGAAGGTGTGTGTGTATGTGGACTTTGTAAAGATTTTAATTAACATTTTTTATCTGATGAGAATATATTTTTTCTCTAATAAAGACAAATTTCTTTTCATTTACCTGTGATCTGTTTTTGATTTATTTTGAAATTGACACTGATATGCAAATAACATACATTTTGTGTTCAAGAAATGGTTCTTTACATTAGACGTCTGTGGTCAGTTCGCCAGGGGAAGTGTATGGGGGGGCCCCTGAGTATGGAGCAGAATTGGGGCCACAAGGGCAAGGAAATATAAAGAACAGAAAAATCTTTATCAAAATGTTGTTTTAATTTAAATTCATATTTAAATATCCTCAGACCCGTGAGTACATTTTCACTAAACTGACCTTTTGCTCTTTTCCATTCCCCCTAAGTGTCTCTCTCCACTTAAGGGGAATGAAAAAGATTGAGCTCTATGTTCCATATCTGTTCTAATATATATGTCATAAACGGTCAAAGGCGATAAATGCATGGATTTGTAAAGCTGTATATTACAGCAGAACTTTCTATCCTGTATCATGCTCACTGGGCTTCACTTTAAAACCCTTCTGTAGTCCCTCTGTCCCTTATAACAAACACACACCCATGATGAGTACCATATATCAATCTAAATGTTTGTTTGTTTTATCTTGTTTTTCTTTGGCAACATTGTTTATTGAAACTACGTCCATGCCAATAAAGCCCCCTTTGAATTGAACTGATAGATATGATTTTATACAGTAATAAAAAAAACGTATCAAGGGTCGGTCCATAGATCAATGTTTCATAACAGCAGTTAAATAAATCTCTTAAGTTTGTTCACAAAAACAGTCTGATGTTAATGGAATTGCATTTCTGTTTAAATTTTATGTATTTTCAGTACACTTATAGGCCTAAAATACCTGTACTAACTAACTAACTACTTCCTGGTAACTTAGACTGGGACCTAGCAACCGTTGTGGTAACTTAGACTGGGACCTAGCAACCGTTGCTAAGTTAACGACGTAGGAAAAATATGTCCTTTCATGTCATTCTAATGACGTCATTTCTAGATCCTACATTTGTAGTGTAGCCAGTGGACCCAGACTTGGTCAGACCCCGACTAGATTAGATAAGAGTAACACGCTTAATTATCGAGTTTAACAAAAAAAAACTATCAAATTGAATATAATATTTAATAGTGTAAAGACCAGTTTAAATATGGAAAAAAGCGTTCAAACCGAGGCTTTGCTTGATTTAATGGTGGAAGCACTTCGCCCAGAGGTCCAGTCCCTTGTCCAGACCGTTGCTGCGGAAAGACAGGTGGACGAGGACACACAAGGCCTGGTGACAACGACCACCCTGCGCCTGATTCGATGCTTGGGCACACGTTTCCACGAGGCTATTCGGGGCATAACAGAATGCAGCTCTAAAGATCAAGTGCTGTCCAATCTGAGCAACGTCCTGCCTCAGATTATTGATGAGGGTCTTAACAATGAAACAGAGTTACACAGTGCCCAATCCGAGATCCTGGCGACCTTGGCCGCCCAGGAGGAGGTTACAGAAGTTGAAAGCTTCTCCTCTGACGAAGACACCGCGGAGCCCGTTAAAGGACCGCGTGTGAGTCTTGCAAGAAAAATTTTGGACATGGTTTGTTATGTCTTAGACATGCTAAAGACGAAACTGAAGTCGATGTGCACATGTCGTCCACGTAAACAGAGAAGAGTGCGCGCCCCTCTAGAGAGCCCCTTAATTACAAAAGAAACGTTTGAGGACGACAAACAGGAAGTCTCATTAGAGCAATATCAGAAGGAAACAGCAGGACTTCTGGAATTTGAGCACTCCCTCGAAATTAACGTAATCTCAGATGAGACTGCTGAGGTGACAGTTAAAATGGAGAGCATGGATGAGACAGATACTCAGAAATTCACCACCACCTGTTGCCTCACTGAAGGGCTCAGAAAATGTAAGCTGAGTTTAACCAAGCTGTATGCCAAAGCTTCATTTTATAAAATCATGGCACAGCTACGGAAAAAATGTTCCTGCCACACCCGAGACACCAGTGCACTGCGATCTCACATGGCTCGAGTGACCTCGCTGTTTGACAAATCAGCACATGAATATTCCCCCTTTGCCTCAGAAGAGGAACATATCCCCCTTTGCTTGGAAGACCCTGTTGACAGTGAGGAGGCCTCAGCAATTACGGAGGAGCTCTGTGGCGTACTGCAGGATTATGTGGCCGAGTTAAGATCACAGAGCATCACAAGATCAGACAGCCCCATCTCAGTGGTAAATGATGCGCCACAGTGTGTCCCCTGTGACGAAATAAGGGACACAGTGCTGAGTTTCCTCAGCAGGATGAGGTTGTTGTTCAGGACCCAGCTGGACAAGCTCGTGGAGCTAGTGAAGACGTGCATAACCAAAAAATCTCAGTCTTCTCAGTCTTCTCAGTCATCCTTGATAATTGAGGCAGAAACAGTCACCTCTGAGGAGGAAACAACAGGAGTCACGTCTGAGGAAACAGCAGGACTTCTGGAATTTGAGCACTCCCTCGAAATTAACGTAATCTCAGATGAGACTGCTGAGGTGACAGTTAAAATGGAGTGCATGGATGAGACAGATACTCAGAAATTCACCACCACCTGTTGCCTCACTGAAGGGCTCAGAAAATGTAAGCTGAGTTTAACCAAGCTGTATGCCAAAGCTTCATTTTATAAAATCATGGCACAGCTACGGAAAAAATGTTCCTGCCACACCGGAGACACCAGTGCACTGCGATCTCACATGGCTCGAGTGACCTCGCTGTTTGACAAATCAGCACATGAATATTCCCCCTTTGCCTCAGAAGAGGAACATATCCCCCTTTGCTTGGAAGACCCTGTTGACAGTGAGGAGGCCTCAGCAATTACGGAGGAGCTCTGTGGCGTACTGCAGGATTATGTGGCCGAGTTAAGATCACAGAGCATCACAAGATCAGACAGCCCCATCTCAGTGGTAAATGATGCGCCACAGTGTGTCCCCTGTGACGAAATAAGGGACACAGTGCTGAGTTTCCTCAGCAGGATGAGGTTGTTGTTCAGGACCCAGCTGGACAAGCTCGTGGAGCTAGTGAAGACGTGCATAACCAAAAAATCTCAGTCTTCTCAGTCTTCTCAGTCATCCTTGATAATTGAGGCAGAAACAGTCACCTCTGAGGAGGAAACAACAGGAGTCACGTCTGAGGAAACAGCAGGACTTCTGGAATTTGAGCACTCCCTCGAAATTAACGTAATCTCAGATGAGACTGCTGAGGTGACAGTTAAAATGGAGTGCATGGATGAGACAGATACTCAGAAATTCACCACCACCTGTTGCCTCACTGAAGGGCTCAGAAAATGTAAGCTGAGTTTAACCAAGCTGTATGCCAAAGCTTCATTTTATAAAATCATGGCACAGCTACGGAAAAAATGTTCCTGCCACACCGGAGACACCAGTGCACTGCGATCTCACATGGCTCGAGTGACCTCGCTGTTTGACAAATCAGCACATGAATATTCCCCCTTTGCCTCAGAAGAGGAACATATCCCCCTTTGCTTGGAAGACCCTGTTGACAGTGAGGAGGCCTCAGCAATTACGGAGGAGCTCTGTGGCGTACTGCAGGATTATGTGGCCGAGTTAAGATCACAGAGCATCACAAGATCAGACAGCCCCATCTCAGTGGTAAATGATGCGCCACAGTGTGTCCCCTGTGACGAAATAAGGGACACAGTGCTGAGTTTCCTCAGCAGGATGAGGTTGTTGTTCAGGACCCAGCTGGACAAGCTCGTGGAGCTAGTGAAGACGTGCATAACCAAAAAATCTCAGTCTTCTCAGTCTTCTCAGTCATCCTTGATAATTGAGGCAGAAACAGTCACCTCTGAGGAGGAAACGACGGGGACAGGAGTCACGTCTGAGGAGGAAATGACGGGGACAGGGGTCACGTCTGAGCAGGAGGCAACAGGGACAGGGGTCACGTCTGAGCAGGAAATGAAGGGTACAGGGGTCGCATCTGAGGAGGAAAGGATAAAAAGATTGTATATATATACAGCTGTTAATAAGCTGTTTTCAAGGTTTATGAGAAAAGCAGGTGTCCCAAACCGGGGCAATCCGGAAATCCTTGCCGAGCGACTGTTTGAAAAGACATTTGCTCTCCTAGAGTGCGAAAAATTTGACTATAATGGAAAAACATTCGAACGCCTGGACAAAACTGTGTACAAGGACATCATCGGGGATAAAATGGTGGTGCTGAAACTGTATATGAGTGAAACATTATTTGAAGATCACATTGCCGCCACTTTCAAAAAGCATGTAATGAATCCTAAGCCACCAAAGAAAGGCATTTGCAGGTTCTTTTCCAATGTGCGCAAGTTAGTCTGCAAACCCTTCAGAAAGTAGGTCATCTTAGGAAAGAAAACACTTTCCGGTGTTGTGGGTTTTACTCCGGGAGCTCCGGTTTCCCCCACGTTAAATCATCACTCTCATTTAACTGTTTAATAAAAGATAAAAACTTTGCTTTGGGCAGCATGGTGGCGCAGTGGTTAGCACTGTTGCCTCACAGGAAGAAGGCTCCGGGTTCGGGCCCCACCTGGGACCTTTCTGTGTGGAGTTTGCATATTCTCCCCCCTGCTTGCGTGGGTTCTCTCCGGGTACTCCGGCTTCCTCCCACAGTCCAAAGATATGCAGCTCCGGTTTCCCCCACGTTAAATCATCACTCGCATTTAACTGATTATTAAAAGATAAAAACTTTGCTTTGGGCAGCATGGTGGCGCAGTGGTTAGCACTGTTGCCTCACAGGAAGAAGGCTCCGGGTTCGGGCCCCACCCGGGACCTTTCTGTGTGGAGTTTGCATATTCTCCCCCCTGCTTGCGTGGGTTCTCTCCGGGTACTCCGGCTTCCTCCCGCAGTCCAAAGATATGCAGCTTAGGTTGATTGGTGTCTCTAAATTGCCCATAGGTGTGCGTGTGTGGTTGTTCATCTATGTGTTAGCCCTGCGATGGATTGGCAACCTGTCCAGGGTGTACCCTGCCTTCGCCTGATTGCCCCCCGTGACCCCGTTCAGGGATTAAACGGTAGAAGATGAATGAAAAACGTTGCTCATTTCTCATTGTTTTCATTTAGACAAGTAGGTATGTTAAGTATGTTAAGCTCTAAATGTTTACAGTTGCTTCACCCAGCTCGTTTTTACAGATGGAGAGGCTGATGGAGAATCTGCTGGGGAGGGGTGGAGGTCAAGGTACATGCTAACACCACGCCGTATGCGGGGCGTGCACACACTGGCTGTACCTTTGAATACACTTAATCCAGTTTTTTGCCAGGCTGGGCAACTCACTGAGCCGTTCATGGGGAGAGACACGGCAGGGAGCAGAGGGAGAAACAAGGGCAACAGAGGTAAAAGAAACAGAAAGATGAGGGAAATTACAAAATCAGCAACAACCCGAGGTTACTGAAGAACATTAAAAAATAAAGACCAAAATCACCTATTGTTAGTTTGGTGAAATAGGCTACTTCAAAACCAGGAAACTGAATATGTCCCTGAAGCTGTAGGCTACAAACAGTCTCTCTCTCTCTGTCTTTTTTACAGACTCATACAGGCTGCATAACAATTCACAGTGCTGACTCATGGGGTTAGAAGGAGAGAATGAAAATGAAAATGGTACCACAGCCACTAAAAAAAAAAACAAAAAAAAAACAACTATATTTTGTAATGACAAAAAATAGAATACAACTAAAACAATTAAAAAATTATTAATTTTGGCTCTATCAATCAGTGAAGGCCTTGAAATAGCATTTTGGCTATGAAGTATAACTGGTTATAGTCTACATTATCTGCGTAGCTACATTATAAACCCAGATAAGATGAATTTACTTCCTTTACTGGAGAATGCTTTGTTAGATGTAACAACGGGGAGAGAATGAGTTGTGTTCAGTGCATCCCTCAGCACAGACTGTGCCAGGGGAGAGCTGTGTGGTGGGGAAGCGTGTGTGTAAAAAGACAGTGCACACTCAGAGAAAGAGGAGAAAAGACTGTCAGGAATCTGCTCTTTATGGAGATGGAGGTGGCTCTGAAAAGGGCCGCTGTGTCCGGCCGTGGATTCACACATGTTCCCCACCTCCCGTCATTGCCGCTGTTGTTTTCAGTGGGGGAGTTTGTCTAGGAACAAGGAGGAATAGGAGGTGCGAGGTCTGGCGGTGAAGTGCGCTCTCTGACAGATGCGAATGCCTCTGTCCAGCGTTGCTTGTCTAATGTAAATGTTTCTTAACTGTCACAGTAAAATAAATCACTGCATTTGACTCATACAGTGTCCGTCACTTACCTCATCTACAGTGTGTGTGCCTCTCTGTGACATAAGCTAAACATCTAGCTAGTTAGCTCATCATGTCTCAGTTTAAAGTGTACATTAAAAAATACAGAAAGGAGTGGGAATCAAGCCCTGAATTCAAAGGCTGGTTGAAGCCATTTATTGGAGATGATACATGGGCATACTGCATATTGTAAGGCTGATTTCTATGCCAAACTTTGTGATATATATAAAAAAACACACATGACAACTCAAAAACATACTCAAAAGGCAAAGCCTTATAATTGTTCCACCCAAAGCAAGCTGCCATTAATGAGTAAAAAAAAAAATTACTATGCAATAAAGACTGAAGCCTCCATGGCATTAGCTATTGCTGAACACTGCTCCATGCTGGCATGTGATCACATTGGGGAAGCATGTAGAGCTGCTTTCTCAGACTCTACTGCTGCTACTCACTTCAAAATACTTCACTACAAACTTCAAATGGGGGGATGGGTGTGTGTATGTGAAAAAACAAACAAACAAATAATTAACCTTTATTAGGGCCAGACTAGTTACCATCATTTTCTCACATTGCCATTGACAGTTTTTTCTATTGTCTCTTTTTGGTCCATTTAGATTGTTAATGTTGTCAAGTTAAAACCGTCTACACACAAAAAATGTTTAAAATGTTATAGTTACAATTCCACCCCACACAACAGTCTTTTGATTAAATTTGATATTCAAACATCTAACAATACAGAACAAAATAGATGGACAAAATTCATAATAATGAAAAATGTAATGTGGGTCTAGACAAAGTCATGAAGTTATTTTGAGAAGTTGTGGCCTATTTCAATGGCAAAATTAAAAAAACAAAAAACAAGAATCAACAGAAGAAAGTTCATTTGTAGTTCAAAAAATATTTAGTTTTCTTTTTGTCACTTTTTGTCTCCCCCACGACATTATTCCTCTCTTCTCTGTAGGAAAGTCCATTGCAATTACATGCGAATGGTCAATTATGCAAATCACATAGCGACTTTTCGGACAGCCAATAGCTAATTTCCTTACTGAGGCGTTGGCAACCCCGGCTCCCGGCCTGATCAGTAGCTACTGAGGGAAAATGGTGGACTTGGCAAAAGCAGCGTGTTCAGAACTCCGTCCCAAACATTTGAAAAAACATTTACCGTCTCAACGTGGCATTAGGTATAGATTACCCGGGGACAATCATAGATAATACATTGTGAAAACCGTTGAGGGAAGTGATTTTCCCCACCGGACAAGCCTTTATTCCAGAATTGGAGAGTCGCGGAACGTGAAGGAGGTGGTTGGTGCGAGGAAAGGACGCTAGCCATCGCCGGCTAAGTGCGACGAAGGTGGGATCTCTGGAGCTTTTTTCTTTACACTGCTTTTGAGACAAACCACAGTGACTGTTACGCCGTCTACTGCCTTCATACCAGCTGTCCAATCAAATCTGCGAGGAGCGGACTTCGCAGTTTGACTGAAAGCAAGCTAACCCGAGCTAGTTAGCCCGAGTTAGCTTTCTTGCGAACTGGTGTATCAGCGCTGCTCGAAATGCCACGGAGTAAAAAGGGGAAACGTGGCTCCGGTAAGCCGGGTAAGTAGCAGCAGCGGCCATTCTAACTCACCACCCAGCTTTTGGCAAGAAACCAACAGGAATGCAATGACTGAATATGACAGTAACAATAAAAGTGTCATTGTCACTGTATAGCTTGGTCGCCACACCTTTAGCGGTGGCAGTTTAGATTTCTCTGCCATATGGCATCAACGATAAGACAGACAAGCAACAAGCTGTTCCACTAACTTTAACTGCTTGCCTTTGAAATGGTTTTGTAGACTGCCTAACATTCAGGGCCCTGGCTTCCTAAAGCTACATTTGCAGGGTTAAGGGTAAGCACGTGTTATTTTTAGCAGCAATGCTACCCCACTTAAACAGGTAGGTGAGCGCCCTCTAAGAGGAATAACCCATGCAACAAGTGCAGCGGGTTGTCCCAGTACATTCACACACGAATTTGAGCTCTTCTCAGTGCACTTATGTTGCTGCCTGGAAAGTACAGATATTCAGTGAGTTTTAAACCTATGCACAGTGGTGCGCATGCGCCTCCAAGTACCTAATGCTTTCAAATTTTATGGAGTGACGTTATCCCGGAAGCTCACACGTGCTAGAGTCAATGCACACACATGCGCGCTTTTGTGTAGTGTAGTTTTCTGCTGGATTAAAAAGGACTGGGAGTCATAGGGAATGATTTAAGTCTGGTTGCATTTGCAAATATTAGGTGAGAGAGAAACGGTATTTCGATTTTTTTGTATATCCTGCACATATAGTGAATTGGCAATAAAAAAATATTTGAAAGCTGTGTTATTTTATCATTTATGGCTTGGGCTACAAGTGGTGCAGGATTAGTATTAATTATGCATCATAGGAATAGTTTTTATGCAGCATTTCATGAGTGGGAAAATGGAGGTCATATCTGTTCTTTTCCTTTATGGCCACTCATTCATCTGTTCACCATTCCTCAATCCTTCATCCATCCGTTTACCTCCATCATCTCCAGGCTCTCTTCGTCAGGAGGTTCTTCAGCTGCAGATGTCGGCTAAAGCATCGCTGATGAAAGGTAACCTCTCTGACCCTTGACCTCAGTCTTGTCGAGCCTTGTCTATGAGCTACTACAGGGCATGCGCTAACCCCAGCAGCTACTCGTGCCTGATAACCCACCATATGTTTGTACTGAAAAGTTGTAACTCTTTCCTCATACATTCAACTCATTGCTGAGTTTCTTCAGTCCTCATGCATGTCACGCTTGGACACCACCGTCATGCTGAGATTTGTAGCTATTTAAAGATGATCATCACTGGACCTTAAAGGAAGACTTTGCTCACCCGACCTTCACATCAGTTCAGCTTTGCTCTTAGAAGTGGCTGTTCAATTACCCAGCCTCTCTCTTACTGAATGTGAGTACACCGGAAGAGTTTGGATTTAAGCAGTTACTTTGTTCTTTCTCTCTCTTATCCATATGTAATGTCATGTCAATGTGACATTCTTGATACTGAGCTTATCACTACAGTGCTATTTTATTTTATTTTTTGTTTTGTTTTTTTACACTGAGGAGCCGATTTAGTTTGTTACTGTGCCATTATGACTCTTTGTGGCCCCTACCCAGTTGTCATGTTTGTTTATCTTGATATTTGCACAAGTGAGGCAACTGAAATGACTTTGTGCAGAATCTGATATTGCATTTATGAAGTTGTTAAAATCGAAACAGGTTTCTGCTGTTGTTATTGTGGGTGTTGGATGTATGATCCTAATTGTATATTCAGATATTTTTTCATTTTCATCCTTCACTCTGAATTTTTTTGTTGATGAGATTATAGAGGATAGTTTCTGCTGCTCAGTCTTTGTTTCTCTAGAAAAACAGCCTGCTGTACCTTTGAAAGTAAAGGCTTTCTTATTCAGTTTTCCTACAGAACAGTTTATGATTGAAGCAGTTTTGTTTCCATGATCTGACTTTGGCTCTGTTGTGATGTAGCAGAGCCACTTCTGTGTGAGTGATTGCATTGTAAGCATAGTGTAGCAAAGTGAAGACAACATGCAAGCCCTGGCACAGAGCTGACATTTCACATAACTGAGGTGTGTGTGTGTGTGCTGATGTCTTTTAATGAGGGGAAAAACAGATTTTGTTTTAGGTTACACTTTCTTCCTCTGCATGTCTGGCTGCACAAGTAGCTCACTTGCACAGTATTTCACAAGCGGCAGCCTACAGTGAGAGGTCAAAGCTACATGCTGCAAAGCTACATAAGATTAATAAATGTTACTGCTACTGTCACCTTTGAATGGACCATAATCGATCTTTTAATATGTGCTTTTTGCTATGATTGCATTAAGCTTTAACTCCGTTAATCTTCCGTGACCATTTGAGGCTTTTCTTCTTCCCACACAATATGTGGTCATGTCATTACCCGTCCGTATGCAGGACTTCGTGGGGCGAGTGTTTCACTCACATATGCGAGTAAAAATCTGTATGAATGTTAACAATTATTACGTATAATGAGAGAATACCATCAAATTAGTGATTGAAACAAGTTTCTGGCAGAATGGTGCGTTATCTGACAAATGCAGGGGTGCTGATGTTTTTGGCAGTAACTGTGACCTCTGGGTTAACTCGACTGTCCTGGTTGACCTGAACATGCGCACACAGAGACATACGTGGTCTGACCATTCTGGATCGTACACTCTGGTTTCCTCTAATCCACCAACAGTAGAAAGTCCTGAGCCAGCAGGAACCTGAGGGTTAGCGTAGCTTAAGCTTCCTGGCTTCTACACCCCTCCATTCTATTCAAGCTCTGTGTAACAGACTTTCCCCTTCCTTCGCATACACACAGGCCAGAGCTGTGAAAACTTTAAAACACTAATTACCATCTGGTAGCACTGAAGACAACAGGGAATTGCCAAAAGAAAATTTGTATGTTCTTCTGCTTGCCATTATATCACATAAAATGACAGTGAATGTAATCTATAGAAATGTGTTTTAGCCATCCCGGTGTAAGAGCTCTGATATTTTTTTTTAATCTTGAGTCACTTTGCGTAGTTGCAATCACGTCATATATAAATGATGCAGCAATCTGAAGGGCGCTGGTGATTTTTGTATGTTGGAGGAGACTGATTGTCACAAATGAAAACAATCTCATGTAGAAATATCTTCTAAGATAAATCCTACTGGGGAATAGTTACTGACAAAGGCAGCTGAGCAAATGAAGCCTACAGTCAGTTTCCATCAACATGCCATTACTCACTGCTGGCAAATGGCCTTCAGCCAAATTCTGGTTTAAATGTGGCTGCCGCCTCTTGGTATTTTCATTTCACTTTCATAAATAACCATCTATATTTGAGGCTGCTTACCCTCTCATAGGAATAATTACTGCTTGGTAGTTTTCTGCCTTTTCATTGTACTGTTGCAAGTACATCCAGTTAAACAGTGCCACAGAAGAAATGAAATGGCTCCTCTAGTCACCAGAAGTCACTACTGTAAGCTTTTCAATCTTGCTATTTATTGCAGGGATCTTGTACTTTATAGCATTGTAGTAATTCTGTAAGGTGTTTGTGCTATTTTTGTGCACTCCAATGTATTGCAGACAGATAATGGAGGAAATAATGGTTGTATCCCAACCACACTACAGCCCCTTGTTTGTTTGGAAACCTTTTGCTCATTATTAGTGTTGCTCATTATTTCCTGATTCTTTAAGCTTCATGAACTCTGTCTCTATGAGCTCATCAGTCATCACCATATGGTAGCGATGCTCCACAATGTCTAGGTTGGCCTACTTTGAGTCACCTTTCACCTAGCGACAGCCATACAGTCGGCTGTTAACCCGCATCATGATTCAGGGATTCATTTTCTACTGCTTAGTCCCTGAACGAGGTCGGGGGGCAATGCCAGCCGGCCGGCCGGCAATCAGACAAAGGGGGGGTACACCCTGGACAGGTCGCCAGTCCATTGCAGGCAGGGCTAACACACAGACGAACAACCACACACGCACTCCTATGGGCAATTTAGAGACACCAATCAACCTAAGCTGCATGTCTTTGGACTGTGGGAGGAAGCCAGAGTACCGGAGAGAACCCACGCAAGCACGGGGAGAACATGCAAACTCCACACAGAAGGGTCCCAGGTGGGGCCCGAACCCACAACCTTCTCGCTGTGAGGCAACGGTGCTAACCACTGCACCACTGTGCTGCCCTGATCCAGTACCAATGTTCACATTTGCTTCCTTGACATAACCAGAGTCCATGTTTTCAGTTGAGCTGTTAACATCTCATTTAAATATAGCATGTCCTTCCTTCCTTATTATTTTCTACGTCTCACTTTTCTCCCTCTTTGTTTTCTTCTCTAGGTGTTAAAAATGGGGTGAAGGGAGAGTCGGGTGCCAGCGATGATGAGCTGACATCTGATATTCTCAGTCACTACAGCAGTGCCAGCGAAAGCACGTCTGTACTGGAAGAGAGCACAGGTTAGTATATCACTGCAGATACCACTTTCACTTGTTAAAACTATTATTTATTAAGTAAATAAACGCATTTTGATTTGCATTAGGGAGTGGGAGAATAAATCTCACAAGGTTTATTCAGTATTTTCTCTTTAAACTTGTACCAGAATCCATACAAATCAACTGTGTGTGTGCCAAACAGGTGGTGAGCAGGTGGATGAGCAGACTGCCCAGGATGAAACAGAGGACAAACTCAAACACTGTATAGACAACCTGATGGATAAGAGGTGTGGTTTTATTTTTTTCTTTCATCAAGTCGCTACAAATAGTAGAACTAGAAAATGTCAAGAAAGACAAAACGGGAAGATAAATGTGTCTGCAGCAGCAAACTGCAGTGGTTATCTCAGGAAGCAATGTTACCAGGAAAACCCTCTGTTCACCATTATTCTCCTTAACACTCTTCTCTCATCTCTGTGTCTCAGCGCTAAGACCCGTCTCGCAGGCCTTGAGTCTTTACGGCAGGCCTTCTCCTCCAGAGTGTTGTACGACTTCCTGACGGAGAGACGCCTCACTATCAGTGACTGCCTGGAAAGAAGCCTTAAGAAAGGTCGGACAGAACAGAGATGCATGTTTTCCATCGTATTAATCGATATAAGAGGTGTTATAGACTCATAGACCTTTGAACCGAGGGTTTTCAGAGGCAGACTCAAAACTGAGTGCTATGGGGCTAAGTACAACAAAGGTTAACTGCAGTCGATGCTACATGCCTCAAACGAATCCAAAAACATTCCTTGGTGTCAACAACATCCTTGTATTTTTCTTATTTGCTGTTGAAAATTGCAAACCAATGCTTATACTGTCGACCACATGAGAAATCCCTACAGCTGGAAGATGGCATTGTGTGGTTCAGAATTTCCGACGACAACTCGTCGCATCTGTTTTATTGCCATCGTCATCAACTACAGATGATGTATAGAGGTCTTGCTCCTCCATGGCTGACTGAAATAACAACCTGCTGTTCTAAAAACACTTCTTATAGCTGAGCTAATATATCGCTCCGGCTTTGACACAGGGTAGAGAAGCTGGAATAACAACAGAAGCACTGTAGACTGCAGTGTGCCTTATAAGTGTTAGTGCTGAAAATATGACTCTTCACTTTCCTAATGTGGAGCAGAAACGCAGTCAACAACACATGCAGTAACAGAACATGATCACTTTTGGTTGTTCTCCTGTTCCCTTCCTGTGTCCAGGCAGTGGAGAGGAACAGGCAGCGGCGGCCACAGTCTTCGCCCTGTTCTGTATCCAGCTGGAGGGTGGAGATGAGGCAGAGGAGGGCTTCAAGATGCTTCGCCCCATCCTCACCACCATCTTAAATGACAACAGCGCCAGCATAGCAGCTCGCCACAGTGTGAGTAATGACATGAAACTCCTCTGCTGTTGTGCGAAACATAGGGTTCAGGCTTATTTTTCACAGAATCTCCTGGGGGAGAAAACGAACAGCAGAAAATTAAAGTCTTAAAGCATGAACATTCATACATGTATGTGGATCAGAAATGAGTCCTGCGGACTGCAGCATGTCATCCAGTACTCTGTGTGACAAAAGTTGCAGCATAATGGCAACTTTGCTGGTCTTGTTTCAGCCATGAGTTCCTTCAAATGGATTTCTTCCAGCCAGCTGATCTCACACTCACCTCAATTGTGAGTCATAGCTCAGGAATTCAGTAGGCAGCGTTAAGGACAAACATATTCAATAATGTTACTCTTACTCGGTGTAGTGCTACTGGAATTACTTTGCACATTAATGGCTGTCTGCTGATTGTACTACAGCACTTAGTTTGGAGAAAATGTGCTTTAGTATAATTTTGGTAAATTTTTATTGGGAAAAATATTCAATAACTTCACTATTGGACAGTAGTGTCCTTACAAAAACTAATGCCCTTGAAACATAACACCAGACACTGGACCAATGGCAGAAAAATGTTTTAAAAAAAACTTACAGGAAAAAGATCCAAAGGGCAAAGAAGGAGGTTTCATGTGTGAAACAGGTTCTTCTAATATAAACAACAAAACTGGCTCAAAGTGCTTCAACTCATGAGGTTGCAAGGAGATGGTGGGAAATTGAAGCTCTAACATTCACAACCTTATTAGCCAAAAATAAGTCAACTATTTCACAATTATGAGTAGAGGAATCATGTTGGACAATCTAGGGAGGATTCAGAGCTATATCAGTCACTTTAAAAAGAACACAGGGAGCAAAGTTTTTCCAAATAATCACAGCGGCTGTGTCTGTCCTTGTTTAACTACATGTCTGCTTATTTGACTTATCCTGCAGTGTGCCAGAGCTCTGGGGATGTGCTGTTATGTCTCTGCTGCCCAAAACGGAGAGGTGAGGACTACTCGCCACTCATGGCACTCTTGAGGTCTTGCAGTGGGTTAGAGGAACAAAATTGTGAAGAATAGTTCAAGCTTTCAGTCTACTCATTGTTACCTCCACACCTAATGTATATCAGTACGAACCTTCAAAAACATCCCATGATAATTGTCAAATTATTATTATCAAATGTGGGGCAGGTTAACAGTAGCTGTATTGGCTGTTGTGTTGTTATACATCACCTTCCTCATTACATTCTTTCTCTCTTTGTTCCCTTAATGTCACCGAACCTGTTCAGGATTTGATCAAGTCATTGGCCCTTCTGGAGAGCATCTTCATGTCTTCATACCCCAACAGAGAAGGAACGCTGCCCACACCCAAACCTGGGAGTCCAGTGCTCCACAGCACCGCCCTGCAGGCCTGGTCACTACTGGTCACCCTCTGTCCCGCATCTAGACTGACTGTGTTGCTCGACCTGTGAGTAAAATGGAGAAATATCTGCCTCACGGTGACTAGAGAGTTAAATCCCAAGGTTTAAAAGTCCTCAGTAGGGCTGAACGATTTGAGCAAATCTAATTGTGATTATATTAAACTTCAAGCCAAAGACAAGCACTAAGGCATTATATAGTATGAGCAACATAATATTAGATTTAACATAAGACCAGGCATGTTATTTGATGAAATTAAATGATGTATGAATTTATATGAATGACATTTTTATTTAAACACTTCAATTACACTAGAAGACTGAATGATTTGTTCTTGAAAACATGCAATACATGCCAACATAAAGTGTCAAAAAGGCCTGTTGTAAACATCAAACTAAAGTGCAGGAATATAAAAACAAATCTGGCTTTACCACACTCAGTATTCACTGGATTCTAAGTCACTGTAATAAACATATGTAAACATGCAGACTGCACTTTTTAAATGTTGTCTGTAAACTTTACTAGACATAAATAAATGAACATATCTTACTGATCTCCCCAATAAGTCACATTACACACAAAATGCTGAAAAATAAGGAACAAATATCTGATACATGATTTGTTTGTCTGATACGGTGGTCACTGTCCACACAACAACTAGGGCAGTCGTCTCCTGACCAGCAAGTTGGTGGTTCGACTCCCGGTCTCCCCGCATGCCTAAGTGTCCCTGAACCCCGAATTACTCCTGGTGGCTTGACTAGCGCCGTTGTGTGGCAGCCTCTTGTCATTGGTGTGTGAATGTTGTGTGTGAAGTCCATTTACCGTGTCAGATTGCACGATTACAATCATAAATTCTTGGACAAGGGATATGACAGACTACACGTTGGTACCTGATGTCATTCACCACTTGCCAGGGACCAGGAAGAAGTGTGTGTGTGTGTGTGTGTGTTGTTATCTTCTATTTTCAGGTGTTTCTCTCTAACTGGGCAGTGCCCGAAGTGGGCAACAGCCTGTGTTGTTTCTCCTTCACAAAGAACTTGAAGTAGCAGTTAAAATAAGCATCTTTAGCTGGTTATAAAACTGAAAGGCAGCTGTTTCACAAGGCTGACTGTGAAAGTCACTATGCTGACGTTAGCTGTATCTCTGTGATATTTAATGAACACGGTTTGGTCCAGTATGTCAAAACTGATGTACAGAAGAGCCATCTGTGCTCCTGTTGGTCAGCGTCAGCCCACCACATTGTAGACGGAAAAATTCTGACATGCTAGAATTTGTTTCAGGATGTTGTGAGGCGTCCTAGTCGCAGCATCAGTTGTCTTACTATGATACACTATACAAGATAAAGCGACTGGTTGTTGTGTGCGACACAGTTTGTTGGTCAGTCTGTTATTGGGCTTAAATCGTGTAGTTGGAACCAGGCGTTAAGCTTAATGAGCATGATATCTGTATTTTATTTAAAGGTCATCAGGAGTGAGTAATGCTAACTAACTTTGTCTCTCCGTCTTCCTCCCTGCAGTCACCTCCCCAAGCTCCAGGCGTGTCTGCAAAGCAGTGACGTTAACTACAGGATCGCAGTGGGAGAGACCATTGCCCTGTTGGTGGAGCTGGGGCGAGATATAGACGAGGTAGACAACTGTACACACTTTTGCATAACTAGGTGGAGGGAAGTCACTCAGGCTGTGAAGTAAGATGGGGGATTGCAATATGTTCTTTTTCCCCTTTCTAACCAGGGTTTAAAGATATCTTTGTTAATGTTGTTACTGTAGTGCAGTTTTGTCACTGATGTGTGTGTTTGCATAGGAATTCAAGGTGGAGGACACTGAAAGTTTGTGTGAATGTCTGAAGAGTTTAGCCACAGATGGCAACAAACATCGAGCCAAGAATGACAGAAGAAAACAGCGCTCCATCTTCAGAGAGGTGCTACATTACATAGAGGTCGGTTTTATAACTGTAAAGATAATATTTGTTTATGATTTTCAGGTTGTATACTTCTGCTCTGATTTTTTTTCCCAGTAGTGTAAACATCACTGAAAAGTGTTCACTCTTCATATTGCTTTTTTTGTTTGCTCTGACTTTGTGATGTCCTGCAGAACGAGGACTTCACAGAGGAGAAGATCAGGTTCGGAGTGGAGAGCGTTTACATCGACAGCTGGATGAGGAGAAGAATCTATGATGCCTTCAAAGAGATCCTGGAGTCTGGAGTTAGACACCATCTACAGGTCAGGAGACACTGCAGTGTAATCCAGATGTAGCTTTGATGTGTTCACACAGGAATAATGACTTGTATGTTTGTACCTCAGGATGATGTTTTCCATATTTTAGATGTTGAAGGTAAACGGTAATTTCACTTGATCCTCCATGACTGCAGACTGTTGAAGATCTCACCTTAACATAAAGACTAAACAGGAAATTCAGCTGTCTGGACACTAATGACCACAAAGCACGTTAATAATTACAGTGGTTTTTTTTTTTTTGGTGCAGTTTAACCCACTACTGAGAGACATCTTTGGTCTTGGTGCTCCCCTTGTCCTGGATGCCACGGTTAAAGGCAGCAAGATCTCGCGGTTTGAGAAGGTAACAGCATTTTTCCCAGCCCTGAATCTTAGCCCAGACACCAGAACTGTCTGACCCTGACACATGGTTGTATTTTTTTTTTCTTCCTCTTGAATTTATGATACATCTTTATTACTGCTATAGCTAAAGTTCAAAAAGTTGTCTTGTGCCATTAAACCCTGAGAAGCAGAAATGTCACACTTATCTACACTGTCTTTGTCTTCAGCATCTTTTCAACTCTGCTGCCTTCAAGGCCAGGACGAAACAGAGGAACAAAGTCAGGGACAAACGTGCTGATGTCATGTAAGAGATGAGGACGGAGTGAACGGAGGAGTGAGGAACTTGTTCGGCTGTACTGAGGCTGATGCAAATCAATGCCTTCAACAGCTGTCAGCCTTGAACTCTCAATAGGGCTTTTTCACCTGCGGTTCAATTCTCCAGATTCAAGATTGGCCATTTATCCTTAGCTCAAAGTGGACACCAGCTGTGAAACAACACATCTTTTTTATGTAGGATGGAAACCACACAGGAGAGTCGATATTGTGCACACATAAAATGGGATACTCAGATATCGGAAATCAATGTTATCAGTGAAAATATTGTCTCGTTATAAGAATCAAATGTTTTGAAGCTTCATGGAACACCACTGAAACCCTCTGTGGTGTTGATGCATATTGTTTGTGATACACAGCTTGAAGTGCTGCCCTGTGCTTTGACAGCTCAGTCAAATCTCACTTGTCTGTCTTTACACCCAGAGTTGATACTACAGCTGCCAAAACAGAAACCCACTATGAACAGTGCAGCTCAAAAAAATGTGTGTGGTGTTTGTGTGTTTTATCTGAATTTTATTTACCACCATGACATGAAACACTTAAGAATATGCCTAATTAAAAAAAAAAGAAATCAAAGTTAATATTGACATCTTTGTATGAATTTTTTGAGGAGAAATATTTGAACCACTTCTGGTGGATAATTGTATTTTACTTTCTAATTTATTAAGGGAGCAGTACTGTGTGATTTTTAATAAACTTAACGCTAAGACCTGTTTACAATTATACAGTGAACATGACAAGAATTTCTATTTTTGTTTTCATGTGTATTTTTAATGCAGGGTTCTGGGCCATATGATCTGTCGATGTGTATTGCAGCTATACTGTACATAGGGATTCATGGAAAGACCAGTACTAAATACATACAGGCTGCTAACCAGAGCTACTGATCAGAAGACTTTGGCGGTGCTGCTGTTTTTACTAGTGGTCATGTTGGCATCTAAAACCCACTGTGCTTCTGACTGTGGCAGCATCACGTTTAGTGTTTTGGCACTTAGCTGCCTAGATGTTTCAGTGACTTACTGAAAAGTTCTCTGAAGATCTAGCATTTTCCCAGTTTTACCCTCTGAATGAAAGGGATATTACAGCTTTAACTGTCAGTAGTTCTGGTGCTAAGGTGCATGGGCAGGAGATGGAACAAATGCAATAAAAGTATTTGAGCACTTTCTTTGTCTTTTGTAATTCCACTAAGACCGGATTTGGGGAATAAGGCTTTAGTGGGGAAAAATGCATTTTAATCAACATAATGTTAATGGGATGGTTACTTAGAGTAAGAATAATATGATTTTACCATTATGATAACCAGAAGAAATGGCCAGTGTCAGTCTAGTGTGAAGACAGTTTCCTTGTAATAATACTTTTGGTTTTCAGAACGTTTGCAGGTGCAGTTTGAAAGATAAAGAATTATAAACATTAACTATTTGAAACCCAGGTCAAAAAATATGTCATTATGCTCTTTGACACATTCTTGAATGGCATTAGAATTAACTTTCTCACGGCAAAAAGTGATTTACACTGGTCCTCTGCCGCCACCTTGCGGTCACTTTGCTCCGCTTCACCCCTCTAAATTGAACCACAGTGGTATTGTCCATTCATGAAATCAACATGGAGACGCTGGTAGAGTGGAAACAGCTGTGAAGAAATGCTGAATCAAGTTTAGGTCGGGCGATACATTTACTGACACTCATGCGGAGAAATTCACGAGCTGAGCTGCAGTAAGACGATTGTTTTCAACCCTCCGCGCAGTTGCTAAGAAGAAAGGGGTGAGTTTGCTCTTGTTGTTTGTGTTGACTGACTGTGTGGCAGTTACTTGAGGTTGGTGACTTAATTACGAGCTCTGTGTGCGCGTATGTACGGCAGCAGACACGAATGGAGCCCGGACGAATCAGCGAGGCGTACGGAGAAGTGAGCGGCCTCCCTGCGCCTGTTTCTGCTAGTGTGTGCGAGGAGCAGGTCCCGGAGCTCCGGGTCTGCACCGTGACTGCAGGTGAGCCACTGCTCACCTCTCTCCACAAACGTTGTGCAAAGTAGGAAATGCCCTTTTGCTTTAATACAATGAATTTGATCATTCGAGCAGGTTCTCACAGTCTGCAAGCTGTTATGGGGTAAATAATGGAAAACAGTGGGTGTCTGAAAAGACTCATTCAACAACTTGGAAAGCTGCACATGGAAGGTTCTGCGGGACCACAACGCCTTCCCGTTGTCTATTAACAAATAACTCCGTATTCCAGCCAGTCTTCTGCCTTTCTGTCTCTGTCCTGCTCATTCTTCCTACTGTTTCCTGCGTCTGTTTGCGGGATCCGTCCGATAGCTGCGCAGATTCTCGTTAGTATTGGAATCAGACCATTGAAACTGTACAGCCTGGACCTCTTTGAGTATTTTAAAAATCACAACCAAACATACAATTTAAAATTTCACAACACTGAGGATATGTTATACCTGCAATAAAACATACTGTATTTTGCAACCACACGACTGATTAATTGATTACCCGTTACATCTAGGTATCACAGTTGGCCAAAATTCTCTCTGTGGTCAGACAACACCGCACTTAGCATGAAGCTAGGTAGGAAATTAATTGTTTTGTATGAATGCTTGTAGAAAATTTCAGAAAATAATTCATTCCCCCATGGTTTTTGCGTGATAGGGTGGAAATATTGTGCTTGATAGAAAGATGTTCTAGAGGAATATCCATTCTCAATAATATTTGAATTCTCATTTAGATTTTATGACTTCTT